TTGTTGAAGCATTCAAGGATGACAATAGCAACCACTACTGCTTGAAAACATATTTATACTTTTGCCCGTTGCATTTCAGGGTAGGGATTAGCTTAGGTTTGTTTTGAAATGAATACGAACACACGCACGTTATATAGATGTGTGAAATACAAAGTGAAGAAGAGAGAGCTTGTGTGTGCTGATACACGTAAGAGAGAAGTAAAAATATATTGCTATCTCTGCACAAGAATTAACATCTAAATATGAAGAGAGATTCTTTGTAGCATGCAGGTGTGTTAGCGTGGGCAGGTATATTTCAGTCATGGCCAAAGGACTGCAAGGCTGTGATTCAGAGGGGAATCCCACTATTGACCCTAAGGGAAGTGGTGTTCCACAGAGTTCCCTTAGGGAATGCTGGTGGCAAGTAAATCATGTTGTTGCAGCTGGCCTGACTAATCCATTTAACCTAATAAATACTACTTGTGTTTATTGCTAGGCTTTGTGTCACACTGTAGAAGAAACTCTCAAATCCTTAGCCCTACTTGGGAAGTTTATTTTGTCCCGTGGGACAAGATTCAAGGACATCTCTAGCAAAGACTGGAACTGGAGCTCAGAGATGTATATCGCTTTTCATGAGCTGTCCAAGGAGTTCTGGAAGGAAATATTTCTGTGAGAACTGAGCCCTTGTCTGTACCATGAAACTAGAGCTACATGGAGAGGCAAAGCCTAGGGAAAATGCAAGAACTTGGCAATGGCCCTAAAAAGGCCACTTTGCCATAGCAATCCATGAAACTACTTATTCTGTTAACTTTATGTTCACCCTTAATTAAATTTTGCTGCTTTTTTTAGATATTTGTTGAGCTCTCCTGTTGGGATTGCCTCTGTGCTGAGAAGAGGCCCCTAGGGATCACAGTGTTAGTGTACAGCAAGGATCAGATAAAGCAAGGGCCTAGATGAACAGTTCAAGTTTCCTTATCTGTCTCACAGGGAATGTCTCCTTTTGTGAGAACAGAGAGTACAAGTGATCTTTCTGGCCTGTGTTTTAACTTGGATCTGTAAACTGGTCACCCTGCCATGTATAAGTAAAGCCTGTAAAAGCCATCTGCCTTAGTCAATTGAGGTGCTTGTGCTGAATTGGCATGCCTGCCAAAACAGGAATTAGAGGAGGTGAGAGCAGCGAAGCTACTAACCACTGTTTTTCAGGTCAAAACAGCTCTTTAAAGCAGTACTTGAAATCTCTGGGGAGAAGGTTAATTTAAGCCAGAACTTCACAACTCTTAAGGAAGTTAGTTGTGGGTGCTCAGTATCTCCTCAGGTAAGGTTCTTAGAACAAAACATTGTGAATTCTGTTAGCAGATTAGTTAGAAAATAGGACATCCTATGGATTTTTTTTCCTAAAGCAAGAGACAGCACGTCTGTGTGTGTGTGTGTCAGTCTGTGTCATGCTTTGGCTCAGATCCACAGGCATGAATGGCATGGGATTAAGTGTCAGGGCCACAGATTTATTTAATGCACATTAAGAAACCACTGTGGTCAGCATACTTTGTCCTCTCTTTGTGAGCCCTTTTCACATATTAAGAGGATACCAAAATCTTTTGGGTCTCTTATAGACTGCATCTGGCCTAGAGTTAGGAGATCTCACCCAAAGCGTTTCCCGAGACATGAGGGCACCAGTCAGCTGCCTGCCTTGGGCTGGCTCTTGGCCAGCACTACAGGTTTAGCAGCTTGGCTCCCCATTGGCTCTGAGGAGCAGATGTTGGCTGTTCAGCTTCACTAAACCCTGCAGCTGGTCACCTTATGTTGTAACCAGATCCGCGTGCACTTGTCCCATATAGCTTCTGGTTTTGTGGATGATGTAAACAAAGGGAAAGACCGGATAGACCTTGACCACTCTGGCCTCCCTCTGCAGTCACAGCCTGTCTTGTCGGAGTCTTGCTGCTCTTGGCTATGACATCCTGCATGGATGGAGGAGGGCGAGTGGCCACTGATTTGTTCCAGTTTTGGGAACCAAATGAAATAATTTCTAAGAGACAAACACGAGTGGCAATAAATTGGTGGTTCAGCCTTTTCCTGTCACTTTACCAGGGCCTGGCAAGTCCACGCTTGCACACCATATGTGGGTGTTTTGACAAGCAGACTTTAATCATCAGGGCAACTGGTACTATGTGTGCAGTGGTGCCTGTTGCTAATGCTTTGGGATTACTTCATTCCATGTCCGGAGGCTTTGTTTAATATCAAACTTATACTTGTCTGGGTGAGCTGCCTTGGTCCTGTAGCAGAGGCACAGTTGACGTTAATTCAGTTTGCACCTTATTGACCGACAGAGACCAGATCTGGGCTCTCTCCCTTTCTCTCCGTTTTGCTGGCACAAATTGCAATACAGTTGCCAAATGAGCTGGACCAAGGCACTCATTTGGCTGAAAATTAACCCCATGAAGAAACAGAACAGTTATTTTCTTGCTGTGATGTTTTCCTGCTCTGACTTGCCTGTCCTGCGTATGCATATACCAGCGCAGGGAAGAGGTAGGTGTGAGTGAGCAGGAGTGTGCCATGGCTCTCCTGGCAGCAGCTGAGGTCAGTGATCAGCTTGAGTATTTATGGAATTATGGCCTGAGTTGCTCTGCATCCTTGGGTAAGTCACTCTGCTACTGTGAGCTCCCAGCTTCTCATCCGTAAAATAAAGATTATAGTATTCCCTCAATTTTGCAAGCGATTGTAAGATCCATAGCTAAAAGGCTTTACATTGCTGTGGAGTTCTCACACAGTTCGGTCAGAGCATATGCTAGTGGATTGGACTGGGGAGACTTTTAGAAACACAAATGTGTTTTGTTTTAAGTGTCAGGCATGAAGGATTGTTAATGTTCTGCTCTATCTCCATTTTATCCTTGTTTATTTTTTTAACTTTCCTAGTGTGAGTCATAACTTGTTTAAGGCCATATCTTAAGGATGAATCTTTGGGATCAAACAAAAGTACTTTTGGGATGAGTCAAGATCAGGGTGTACAGAGGGGAGGGAGATAACTGATACTGTCTCCGTAAATTTCATTTTTCTTCCTGCCACAAAACACTGTCTGAGTGCTGTAGAACTCATCTCTGTGAAAAGGAGGATAGAATAAGGAATTGCTTGAAACCTGGGTAGCGTGACTGACACCTCTGTCTTTCTGTATTTTGCCTGCACATCCCCATGACACTGAAGAAGTAACAAATCTCAAACTGATGTCCTTTGCACCAGTACCAAACTCGTCAAGTTAATAGAGCTATACCAGGGCAAAAGAGGTGTGGAATTAGAATTAGGTATAATTGCATTCTACTCTGCTTGATTAATATTTCACCTTTAGAAATACTTTCTTTTAAATGCTGTTTATTTAATTAGATCTTTCTCCCACTTGCTTTGCCTGAGACTTAAAGTATAATATAACAAGAAAAGCTGTTTCACTGGAATGGCCTGATGCTGGAGCTGTAACATCTGTTGAACTGTTAAAGGAAAGAATCCACACTGGAGAGGAAGAGAAGTCACTGAAACCTTAAGCCGATTGGAATTATAAATGCTCAGTATTGTTGAGTCTGCCTCTGCCCTTGTTTTTACACGAGCCACTTCCATTCCTGGTGTCAGGTGCACCCTTGCATGCTGTTTTACACTGTGTTATACACCATATATTTCAAACTGCTGTCCTTCTGGGACCTACTCATGCACAAGTTATGTACTTCAAAAAATTATCCCTTGGAGAGAAAGGTAATTAAATGAATGCAGCCAATGTTCTAGGATTTAAACTTTGGGGAGGATAAACAATGCTGGCCAAAGAAGCTAGTTCTGTTGCCACTGAACTTGAGTGGGAGTTGAGTGTTTCCTTTGTTTTCTGTTGCCATTTGGAAGATATCCGTTTTCTGGGGACAGTATTACTAATAAAATAACGCATCCTGTCCGTCATTCTCTCTTTTTCCCCTTTATACAGGGTCACCCTGGGCAACCTGGACCTAGAGGTCTGCCTGGCCTCGATGGCTGCAATGGTACTACTGGGAGCCCTGGCGTTTCTGGATCAGATGGGTTTCCTGGACTACCTGGGCTGCCTGTACGTCCTAACTCAAATCCAGTGTTTTGTAGTCGTCACTAAGCCAGGATTTGCGTTTCATGTCACTGTTGGAAAAGTAACTCCCAAGTACTTTGGAAGAGCCCTAATAACCCTAAATTTATTAGCATTGTCAGAGCTCGGTATCATTTTCTTATTGAAATTCCACTGTGAGGACAGCATGAAGATCCTGTAAATTCAGTATGCTCCCACACCAAGTTATACCATTGCATTGAAGCTAACTCAGGAGAAAGCATGATACAGGTTTTAAGAACCATGTAGTGTCAAATATCTTCTTCCTGGCATGTTTCAAGTTAATGGATGCTGATTCAGGAAAGGATTTATCACAAGTTCCAAGCTATGCATCAAATAAAGGATGCTTTCTTTCAGATCTGAAGATAGTCAAAAGCTTCAGTCTCACTGAGTGTCAATAGGATTTACTTTCCATATTATATGTTTTACTTTTGAAAACACTTTTCTACCAGGTCAGAGTTTTATCTAGCCTGCAGTGGACACCTTAAAGTTAAGTGTCAAATCTAGTCATCTGGACTCTCCTCTTACAGAAAGTGGTACTTGCAAGAGCACTTCCCCCCATCTACCTTTCAGGATGAATTATCTGTGGAGATACCTGTTTTCCTACATTGATTGTAGAGGAAGTGAAGGTAGCCAAGTCATGCTCTATACTCTGTTTCAAGTGGGTTCAGTTACTTATACGAACTCCACTCTTGGATGCTTTTGGGAATTGTAGTCTTTTATAAAAGTACATGGTTGTTTTTGAAGTGTAAGCAAACAATATTTGACTTGATATTAAAATATTTGACAAATACTTGTTCGCATTCAAAGCCTGATCTTACATACACAGATCTTGTGATTAATTGTACATGTAATAGGACTTGTTTGCACATATACATGAAAAAGAGGAAGAAAATACAGCAGATGGATGTAAATTATGCCCTTTGCTTTCATCATTTCTAAGCCATGCTGTCATCTTTACATGTCCTCCAGACTTGCAGTTCATATGATGTTGAAAAATACTGAAGCAATAAGATCAAATAAAGTGCTGCTTTCTAAAGTAACTGATTTCCTCATACCTGCTGCTCAAATTTCTATTTTGTAATGCTTGTAGGATTACATTTTTGGCAAGTAAAGCTGCTTAGATCAGCCAAGCCCTCTCAAATCAAGTTGGCAATTAAATGAAATTACCTCAGATAAATTGGATGGGATGATCAAGTTTAAAATATGTTGGGTAAATCTACAATTGTAATGCAGCTTTTTTAGAAGATTCATGCAGTCTACTTTTTTTTTTTCTTTCATTGATTCTAAACAAAAATTGGTGATTTACAGTGTTAAATGAGACATAGAATGATTGAATTGTTTGGGTTGGAAGGCACCTTAAAAACCAACTCCCCTGCCACGGGCAGGGACACCTCCCACCAGCCCAGGTTGCCCAAAGCCCTGTCCAACCTGGCCTTGAACACTGCCAGGGAGGGGGCATCCACAGCTTCCCTGGGCAACCTGTGCCAGTGTCTCACCACCCTCACAGTAAATAGTTTCTTCCTAATATCCAGTCTAAATCTATCCCCTCTCAGTTTGAAATCATTACCCCTTGTCCTATCACGATGCTCTCTGACAAAGAGTCCCTACCCATCTTTCCCATAGGACTCTTGAGGTACTGGAAGGCTGCAATAATGTCTCCCTGGAGCCTTCTCTTCTCCAGGCTGAACAACCCCAACTCTTTCAGCTTGTCTTCATAGGAGAGGTGCTCCAGCCCTTGATCATCTTTGTGGCCCTCCTCCAGACTCACTCCAACAGCTCCATGTCCTCCTTATGTTGTGGGCCCCAGAACTGGACGCAGTACTCAAGGTGGGGTCTCATGAGAGCGGAGTAGAGGAAGAGAATCACCTCCCTCGCCCCGCTGGCCACACTTATTTTGATGCAGCCCAGGATGTAGTTGTTGTTCTGGGCTGTGAGCACATTGATGATTCATATGCAGTTTTTCAGCCACCAGTACACCCAGGTCCTTCTCCACAGGGCTGCTTTCAATCCACTCATCCCCCAGCCTGAATCTATGTTTGGGCTTGCCCAAACTTAGGTGCAGGACGTTATGCTTGGCCTTGTTGAACTTCATGAGGTTCACATAGGCCCACCTCTCTAGCCTGTCAAGGTCCCTCTGGATGGCACTGATATGTGTATGAACAGAAGGGTTACAAACAGTATCAAATAGGGTATTTAAAGTTTTTGAAGGCCTGAAAGAAAAGAGAAATCTAATATATACAGGAAAATAGCAGATAAGATGCTTGCAGAACCTTGTTTTTCTAAAGCCACATGAAGTCTTAAGTTTTCATAATACCACAGCTTCTTTGGCAAAGCTACAGTGGTAATTTTGCAGTTAATTGGAGCCAGGAGTTCCCTTGTTCTTTATGCTGAATAGAAATCCTTTCAAAACTAAATCAGTATTTTTCCCAGAAATTGATTTTTTACCTTTTTTTTTTTTTAATCAGGGTCGTCCTGGCCCAAAAGGCCTTAAAGGAGAACCCATTTTTGCTCAAGGCAGTCTTAAAGGAATGAAGGTAAGACTTGTTGTCACATAGGAGAAAATGCAGTACAAGAAACACCCTGGTTGCACAGCTTATGCTGCAGGTCAGATTGCTCATGGTGTTAGATGTGGGTATCCTGCGTATGTCTGAATGCAGAGCTGTGAAAAAGGCCGTATAATAACTTCATTAATGACAACACAGAACACTCAGAACTTTGAGTTGCTTGGTCTTTGCAGAGATCTTGCACTGAGATGCTAGGACATTGCTTATCCTGTTACTGTTAGCATAGGTGCTGATCCTTCACTTGTCACTGGAGAGCCTGCACCATTTGTCTGCGGTGTCAAACCATAGATGTGAGGAATTTCTTGTCAGCTTATCCTGACTTATATGAGGTAGCATATATGTTTCTAGATGCAGATATAGCAAAGGAGGGGCTGTTCACCTACACTCAGAACTCTCCTGTAGCTAACACCTTTGCGTGTGCAAGGTCTGTTGCAATACCTGCTCAGGAGACTCACAAAGGCACATTAAGATTTCTGCTGTGAGATCTCTACCAGCTGCCTCTCAGTGTTTTTTGTACTGAGTGATATTAGTAAGTAATCAGTCAAATTCTGGGTTTACCTATATGAGTATCGTATCCCACTTACAGTGTTCCATTCTTTGCCACTGTGAAGTCAGGATTTCAGTCTCTCTGTTTAGTAAGGACCTTGCCCTGAAATATCTGTTTCAAGTCTGTAATTTTAGTTCCTGTACAGAAAATACAAACTATGGGTAGGCAGTTTCAGTTTTCTCTTCAAAACAGTGAATAGGTTCTTGGCTATGCTCATGGTAAAGGTTTGGCTCTTTGTTGCCTTGATGCAAGCACTAGCTAGTTTACTATGGTTTGGATTTTTGCCCTAAGTACTAGATTTGGAATAAAGCTACAGTGGATTCAGTACCTCTTGTGGTACAGAATTCAGCAGTATTTAGCAGCCTCATGCTTCATTAAATACTGAAAATATCAAGGAATTTATTCAGTCATGTAAGGCCCCTCACACTGGCTTTGTTGGTCAAAATTAAGAACTTTCCTAAAATTCTACCTGCGTTATGTAGATTCGTAAGTTGGTAAAAGCTAAATAGATCTGTATTTATGTCAATGTTTATGGGGAATACAGATAATTTGATATAACAATGATATGTTTTTATGTATTTTGTACTGGTTTGTAATGAAAGTTCTCATGGTGTTTTCCAGCGTTTTTACAAGTGATTTCTTTCCATGCCACTTCCATTCCTCTTGTTACCAATAAATAAAATCTCTCCATTACCCAATTTAAATACGGAAGCACAGGTGTCAAAACATTTTCCCATTTACACTTGTTCTACTATTAGCTAACGGCAAATATTTCTATTTATACAAAACTGAATACTCCATATAATTTGTTGTAATAACATAATGTAACTTTTACTGCTGCATTTGTAATTTTTAGGGAGAAAATGGTCTTCCTGGATTGGATGGAATTGCTGTAAGTTATTTGATAATGATTTTAAAGGATATTAAGTAGGTAATCTTTCTTGTATTGGTTCTCAAGTACACTTTTCAAGTTAGTAGACCATGTATTTACCTATGTGATACACGAGGTATTCTGGCTTTGTAATGGTATGAGTAGATACATATTATGGTAGAGGAAGTCAGATTTTTTGCTATTATCTGTTTTGTTTTTCCTTTTTCAAATCAAGCTCCCTTCTGCCACTGATCTCTGTAACGTTGATTTTCAAAATACATCTAAGAACATGAAGTGGATTACTATAGTATTTAAATTGGCATACTTAATTAGGGACTATTACTTAATGTTTCCTGAGACTCACTTTGTCCTTGAGGTTTGATGGGGTGAATGCTACACATTCTTATTTGTCCTGTGTTTCTCTGATAGGGCCCAAAAGGTTTTCCAGGTCCGATAGGTTCTGCAGGCACTATAGGATTACCAGGTTTGCAGGTAAGAGACCTCAACTGTTGCACTTGTTGATAGAAAGTTGAAATCTCTGGCAGTTTTCCTCTCTTGTCTATATTTATGTCATGACAATGAGCAAAAGCATGTGTGCATCTAAAAGGACTGAGTGCAGAATACTTGAAATTAGATAGTTTAATGTAATCACAAGAGGGAAGGCTCCTCTGTGGAGCAGCGTTCAGAGCCGTGATCGTGAATGAGGACTCCAGCAGAGCCCTGTCTACAAACACTGTATTTTACTATTCTGAGTGCTTCCTTGTCTTGGGACTGAAGGGAATATGCTGACTTCTGCATCTTTGAAGCCTTTTCGAGATACTGCAAGAGAGTTTCCATTGTGCAGAGGTAAAAACAAGCAGCGTGTCTGAGTTTTCTCATTGATCACAGCACCAAAGGACTATGCTGTCTGTTTCAGTTGTGAAGACTTGAAGATCATCTCTATCACTTACTTTTGCTTTAGGAGAAAGAGATGAAAGTTCAGGTACCACTGCAGATCCCGGCATTGCTCTCGAATTGTGTGCATCCTAATTAAATCAAGAGAAATAAAGTCTTGATCTTTTTTCACATTTAGGGTCCAATGGGTCCTCCTGGGCCACCAGGTCCAAAAGTAAGTACCTACCTTTCCTGTCTTCTTTCCACACCTGATTGTTGGCTTTTCTAACAGTGCTGCGGGCCTAGATGATAGTGACGCTGCTGTTGTTTTATTATTCAGTCATCATTGTTGTTTTTTTCTCTTTGAGGGCAACATGGGGTTAGGCTTTCAAGGAGAGAAAGGAGAAAAGGTAGGTGAAACTTGTTCTGTTATGCGAAGAACATGAAATAATACTGTGGTGTTCCATCATAGCTCGATCCTCTAGAAGGTGGCTAGGTTCTAGCATTTTCTTCTTTTTCTTTTGCTTGAACTGATTGGCAGTCCAAATTCTAGAGTCTTGCTGGTTCCTTATCTGTTGGTACACAAAAACAGCATGGGAGCTTTTTCTAGAGAGGAAGGGAGCAAGGGGAAAAATCTCAGTTCAGAGCAGTATTGTCATGGTTATTGAGACATGAGGTCCTTAGACATCTTTTTAATCTCTGTCTTCCAGTTTCTTTGGACCCTCACCTCTGGTATTGAATTATTCTACTGACTTCATTCTTTTTGTCATTCATAATATTCTCTGGGTCAACCAACGTGTAATTTATAGTCTCACTGAAGTCTCACTAAACGAGTGTCTTGCAGTCTGTGTGAGAATTTACACTGGCATAATGACGCTTCTCAAAGTTCTCAATCTGGGACTTGATTCTACTGCTGTTAAAATCACTGCTCAGCATTCAACACTTCTAATTGTTTCTTGTGTTCCTTTCTTTCATATTTATCCTAAAAGCTTTTCTGCGATGTTTTCCTGTTGATTCAAAAGCTGGGCCTTTTTTTTTTCTCCCGGCATGTTTTATATTCACAGCTCTTCTGAAACAGAGTTAATGCATTTTGTTCATCTTAATTTTCAGTCTGATCTTTTGACTTTCATGACCAAACTCCTGTGCCAGCATTCAGGCACACAGATATTATGTATGTGGGATATAATTAGAGTACCTTTCTTCTGATTCGCAAGCCACTTTCATAGGAAATCTAACATGTTCTGCCTATGTTAATAGCTTTGTCTATTGCCAACAGGGTGATGTAGGGCTGCCTGGCCCTCCAGGTCCCCCACCATCCACTGGAATACTGGAATTCATGGGATTTCCAAAAGGGAAACAAGGAGAAAAGGTCTGTAAATTCAGTTTACAAACTCTTCCCTTTCCCACACATTCAAGGCTGAATGAAATTACTGGACAGTGAGGGCTGTTATATTTCCAAATCAAAATAATTTTCTGCACTAGTTTAATCTGCCGGATGGCTATTGAATAAAAATATTCTTAGCTCAGAGTATTGTGGATCACTGGAGAATGCATACCTCTCAGGAGAAATATGCAAGCTATTTAAAGGTTCTCATCATTAATCCTAAAAGTAAATGAACTGTAGTTTATTTCTGCTGGACCTGTGAAATTGTGTCAACTGAAGCAAAAAACACCAAATCCGTTTAGAAAAATAAATAAAAAGCTCCAGCTCTTTTACTTTGGCTATGATCCACACTACTCTGAAATAACGATTTCTCTCCTTTACTTTGTTATCCTGGCACTTACTGAGATACATATTTAGCTCATCAGTGGTTTTTGTAAAAACTGTATGGATCTTGGGTTAAAGATCCTCTACAAACAGAATGTAGGCATACTGAATTAATCTGGGACCTATACAAGCTGTTTTGGGAGCCCAGTCTGAGCTCGCCTAGGTCATGGAAGATACTGTCCTACACATGTCACGAGAGAAATTGTCTTACTTGGTGGAGTTACTTTAGCATGAGATGAGATTCAAATAAATACCATTCCTTTTGACTCGCTCTTGAGTTTGTAAGCAGGGTTGTGAAGACATTTTGCTATCTCATCATGTGCTATTTTGCTGCTTTCCATGAAATGCTGTGCATGTTCCAGTTGTCTAGATGATGATACAAAAGGCTTGTAGTTTGACTTCTAACATTGGAGGACAGCAGAACAACAGTTCCCAAGCAGTAGTCTTTGAAGCCATGAGAAGTGATCACGGACAATGTTGCATACGCCGGCACTGTGCTGAGAGACGCTGTATCTGGAACATGCTGACACAAATCAAGTATACTTGCTGACAAACAAATTACAAGGCCTTACTGTAGGAGGCAGGAGCATGATGGGTGGATTGGGCAAAGTCTTGCTTTCATGGGGACAGGGACTTATCGTGTTTACCTCTTCCCCTTGTCAGGGTGAGCCAGGCCCTCAAGGATTCCCAGGAGACAAAGGATTGCCTGGCATGCCGGTAAGGACAGAGGAGAGTGTTTAATCAACTCTAATCTTACAGTTTGGAGATACAAAGAAGATAACGCTGTCGTACTGTAGTCGTTAAAATGCAACCATCATTTCAGTACATGCAGTAGACTTGCAAGTCATCATACTGTTTAGACAGCCACCTGATGGCAGTGTTTCTTGGTGTCCCCCAGAGAGCTAGAGATATTTTTTAAAAATCTAATTTATATATATCTCCAGTTTTAAAATGGGCTGTTTAACATTAATTTATTATGCTTATTAACTCAGGAATGTGTAGCATCTTCTTCGTATTAATAAAAAACAACAATTTATCCCTGGATTCCAGAGAACTGTTTCCCAGCTTATATCCTTTTGTAAACAGGGGTTATTTCAATAAGTTTAGGGAATAAATATTTTGTGGAACTTCTGACTAATCAGATAAATTGTTTGCCAGTTTCTTTAACATACAGATGTTCTTAGTAGAAAGACGTGCAAGAACAAACCTGTACACGAAGCACAGTTTGTTATTAGCCTTTCAGGACATGTTCCATTATGTGCATGTTTAGTTTTATGCATCACAAGAGGCCCATTGAAGCTGGTGGGGTTGAACACATGTTGTGAACTTAACCACAGGCATAAGATATTTCATGATTGAAGCCTGAAAATTGCTTAACTACTGTAATTCTCAATGAAATTAAATCCTGGTGTTCTAGCTCTGTGTTTTATACTTTTTACTGACTGGGAAAACCGCCAAACATTTCCAGATGTTAACTGTGAAAACGCTAGCTTTATGTCATCCTTGGGCTTTAGGTGCTTTGAGCACTCACTTGAGCTGCTGCTGTTAAGCAATTAGATTTGAAATAATTTCTAAATATAGAATACAATGCAGAGTAGAAGTGGTAGGACTTTGCTGTTTATAGCATTTGCTTGCATTTGCTACTGAGAGACGTGCCATGGTTTAAATGGATGGAAGTGAAGATAATGTACTGCATATACTGACAAGTATGGTTGATGCAGGTTTTCTTTGTGGGGCAGAAAACAGCAAAAACTATTTCCCAGGAGAAACAGTCAGTTCCCTTTGTCTCTCTGTAGTACTATTTATATTAATAGATGAGTTTGTGCTCGTTTTATCTTAGGGCTGTGCTATTCCGAACAGATCACAGATTTAATGTTCACAATTTTCCTCAGGGCTTTGGAGGTGTTGGAGAAAAAGGAGAAAAAGGTGTACCTGGCTTACCGGGTGGCAGGGTAGGTAACTTTATTATAAAGTCCTTAAATGCCTGTTTTCAAACACATGATGTGGGCCTTACATCAACAGAAGCATTCCCAAAGCATGTAAGGGTCTCAAACACAGGACTGGATCCCATAGTAGTCAGTGCCATACAGCAGCAGAACCAATAGATATTGGGTTGTCCATATAACAGTTGCATTTGGGTTTTTTTGTAATAGATGGGCATACACGTCTTGAAATGTAACTTAACTTCATTTTAAAACCACAAATTCATTCTGTAACTTGGGAGCTGACAGTTGAAGCTCATTTTAGAAAAGGAAGTGCATGACTTTGTTAACAATTATTTATTTGGCATCGATTTCGAAATGGAAAATTAAAAGGGACTTTTTTGTCTTATTTTGCTGTATTACTTCCAAAAAGGTAAAAACACTGTGCAAGCTCCTAAAAAGTGATGTGATGTGTATGGTGAAGATGCCTTAAAACTGCGGCAGTGTCAGAATTGGTTTGCTAGATTGCGGTCCAGAGATTCTGATGTTAAAGATGCACCACACTCAGGAAGGCCAGTCAAAGTTGATAACAACAAAATAAAGGCATTGATCGAATCCAGTCGGCATTTAACGACACGAGAGATTGCTGTTAACCTTAACATATCGAAATTGAGTGCTGAAAACCATTTAAAACAACTTGGATACGTTAGGAAGCTCGATATTTGGGTACCACATGAGCTCATAGAAATACATCTCACTGAGCACGTGGACATCTGTGATTCTCTCTTGAAATGTGAGGAAAAGGATCGATTTTTGAAACGTATGATAACAGGAGATGACAAATGGATCATCTACAACAACAACAAATTAAAAAGATCATGGAGCAAGTGTGATGAACCAGCCCAAAACACTTCACATGCAGATATTCACCAAAGAAAGGTGGTGCTGTCAGTCTGGTGGGATTTCAAAGCTATTGTGTATTTTGCATTGCCCCCAAGGAACCAAACCATTAATTTGGCTGTGCACTGTCACCAACTGGAGAGATTAAATGATGCCATCAAACAGGAGCGTCCAGAAGTGGGGAATCACAAAGGTGTTGTGTTTCTCCATGATAACGTTAGACTACAGACCAGTTTGGTCACTCTCAAACACAGTTGCAGCTTGGATGGGCTGTGTTACCACATCCACCATATTCACCAGACCTGGCACCATCGAAGCACCATATGGTTTGGTCTTTACAAAATGCCTTGAATGGTAAAACCTTCACTGCTGATGAGGATAGCAAATCGTTCTTGGAAGTGGTTTTTGCTGAAACAGATAAGAACTTTTTTGAGCACAGAATCATGAAGTGGCCTGAAAGAAGGCAAAAGGTAATTGAACAACATGGACGCTATATTGTTCAATACAGTTTTCTTCCCCATGAAAAATTCACCTTTCATTTACCCAGAAAAAAATTGCAGTTAATTTTTGGCCAAACCAATAATTGTTATCTCAGTAAAATCTCAGATTAAAGGTGAGGTGAAAGATGTAGACAGACAAGTCAGTCCAAGAAAATAATACAGAAGTCTATAGTAGAGGTCTTGATATTGCAGGGCCTGTGTTTTTCCAGTTTTTTTGAAAGCTTCACAGAAAAGGAAGCTTGCAGGAGGTCCAAATGAAGATAATAAAGAGACCTTGTAGGGGTTTTAGAGAACTCTTAACCAGTGCCAGAACCAGCCATAAGAGAACACAGATAGATATTTGGGGAAGAAATAGGTAAGCTGGCGATGGTGGTCTAACTAGTCAATGAATGTGGGAGGTAACAGCGTGCTTAATCACACACCAGCCATAGCTGCTTCAAACCACCATGCCCCTGCAGAGCTGTACTTTTACACAGCAGGAAGACCAACACATTCTGTTCCACATGTGCAGAATAATTTGACAAGATAAGAAGTCTGGATTATGTTAAATTTCATAGCTTTATAATTACAAACTACCTGCCTGACTTCCTAGTAAGTTGAGACACTATGACTTATTGAACTTGAGTTACCGATTAGAAAGACAATGGCTGAAGAAGATAAGACTTCTTTCATCAGTTATTCTACTGAATTCCTTTCAATTATGATTGTTAATATTTGGGGGATATGGAAAATCAGTGGTGGTTTCTCCTTTTAAGAGTTCTACCTCTTCATTCTTTGATGCTGAGATATTTGGAACCTGATATAATAAGACCAGACTGAGATGGAGACCTATGAAAGTTAATAGTTTTTTGCTGTTCTAGGGCCTTGTGGGACTGGATGGATCTGATGGGATTCCAGGGAGAAAGGTGACATTTCTTTTATTTTTAACTGTCCTTACAATTACAGAAGCCATCTAACCTCTTAAGATTTACTGACTTCCTTATCTAGCAGCTCCAAATTCTCTGATGGATGAATGCACTTGCTGTATTAAATCAGTGAGAGCTAACAGGAAAGTCTGTGTAAAACTATAGATCCCTTTAACTGTCTCTCTAGGTATCCCTGTGTATTCAGAGGACCACCTCCACAGACTGCAAATTGTACGTTCCCTCCTGAAACAATAAACTCTCCAACTTTTCCCATTTTCGAGTGGAAATGGCCAGGTCAAGTGGCCAAAAATGTGTTAAAGCACTTCCACTTGCAGATACAGCGGTGAAAGTTGTTGAAGAAAGCAACTTTCAGAAGTACATTTTATTTTGCAGCCTGGAATTTAGTCACTTTCCTGTGTGTTTTGTGTTATGTTGGTCCTTTTCAAGTTATACAGAAGGTGATGGTATCTCCAGTATAATCTAATTCATATCTATATGTTAAAATGATATGAATAAAACCAAACCTTTTATGACAAGTTTCTCAGTAATACTGAGTATGGACTATCTTGGGGCCTACAGCTGTGCAAGACTTCAGAATCACAGGCAAGATTTAAAGTTAAGGTTCCCTGCTCCGGAGCGCTTGGAATATCCCATTTTGTCTGCAGTGGCAGTGGGATTTGCAACCCATACTGGGCCAGGGTCAGTATGTGACCCAATAGAGACCAGCAGATCACTTCTGCGTAGATTTCCAGTCACACATGCAGAAGGGGAATTTTGGTGTCCCTGAGAATACTACTGGGAAATGGATAGCTGGAGAGCTGGGTCATAGTGTCACTTTAAGTGTTTTAGTGCCAATAATTTGTTGGAGAGTGAACGGAGTGGAGGAGAAAGTGTGGGGGATGAAGAAAATAATGTTCTAGACTCCTCACTCCACAAACATTCTTACGGTTCTGTGAGAACTGCAAGGTGTCCTCCTGATTTGGACACTCTCATGCCGACTCACAAGTTCTCACCATCTTTACAGCACAAGGAGGCCTAAAGGTGCTCTGGTATTTTGTGAGTGCTGAAAAATTGATGCCATCAGTTGTATCTTTATTTCTTCCACAAATGTTAAGTAGGACAATGATTTAAGTTTGTGATTCAAGTCTAGGCTCTGCAGATGTCTTGGCTAACAAATAATGCCACTGTCTTACTGTCTCACTGTGTAAATATGTTCCCCTGTGTGACTTTGCAGGGTCATCCAGGTGTTCCGGGCTATCCAGGACTGGATGGAGTTGGAGGCAGGAAGGTAACTTCTCACATGAAAATACTAAAGCGTTGCTTTTTAAAAGATATTTGCATGAATAAATATCATTGCCCCGATCAAATCTCTTCTTTACCTCTGTATCACTATACTTTTCAGTATATTTCAGTTCCTCATTTACTTTATTGTTAAGGATGAAAACTAATGGCTGTTGAACTATGAACACACAGATATTCTAAATCTTTTACAGTGTTCATTCATGTCACTTCGTGACTTAAAATTGTAGGTGTAGTCTCTCTGGTCTCCCTTATCCTTACACCAGTGCTATATTTACTGGACAGTTGAAGCAAGATTAGATGGAAGTAAGTGGATGTTAAGATGGTTGCCAAGGCTATCTGAAGTCTTAGATCACGGATCTACAAGTATTGACAAATCTGAAAATAATCTGTTTGATTTCTTGTATTGGAAATAAGCAGCATATAGCAGACATTTTCTGAATATGTCACAACTTAGGCAGTCAGACATTCTGGAAACTGAGTGGAAAATGGTTGGGTAGTAGTTTGCTGTGGAAAACACCTGCCACCAAGATTGGTATGTGGTTGGCAGACATGAAATGCAAGTACTGAGGGCCTTGTTGTACAGAGTATGTGGAAGAAGTAATAGTACAGGTGTGTTACTGGAAGAAGCAACAAAGTGTGCACTGCCTTGGATCACTGCATGGTGTTTATATTATAAATATAATGGTAATTTGGACAAGTTAGATTTTGCACTTGCTGTTTCAAAGAGGATTTGATACTCTGTTAGAGAGGAAAGAATGATACTGCCATTTGTCACAACTTGCTTCTTCTACCTCAGTGATTTTATAAAGGAATTAATTTTCCTGGAAGCTCCCACTATTGAAATTCAGGTTTTCAAGGCAAGAGATAGCTGCAGTGGTGGATGGTTTTAAAAATGGGTATATTCATAGCAGCTCTCTCACTTTTACCACAAGGTGGACAAGTATGATCTACCTGATATTGGTCAACATGCTGGTATGATAGCTGGTCTCCAGTACAGATGGTATATATGAGTCTGTGCTGCCTATTGAGGTAGCAGGATACCTTCAGAGGATAGCTGGGTAGTGGCAAACACTTCAGCTGAAGCAGCCATCAGTTTCATCAGACAGGAAGGAGGCAAGTCAGGACAGCAGATGCTTTTGAATAGCAGAACAAAGTGAATTCTTCACCAAGACAAAGAATGATGGTTAGTCAGTGAATGATCAACAGACACTGCTACCATAATACAGTCTGTTTCCTGACGAGCAGTCTTCCCTTCTGTCACCCCTCTGAATGCGGCATGAATCTGTTTTCTTCTACAGGGTGAATCAGGTGACATTGGTCCCCGAGGCCCTCCTATCGTTATTGACAGGGAAGGTGTCATCTTTTCAGGTACATGTTTCTGTTTTGTTTTGGAACTCATCTAAAGCCGTTTTTCTGATCCAGCTTTCCTTCTTGCTGTATTTAACCACTTTTCCACATTGTGTATTGGGTCTAAACCATCCCTTGTTATTTTTGCTTTAGTTTCTGTATTGTTGACACAGATGTGTGTTTGGTCCCATGTTTATAACTTCAGTGTACAATAAACTTTTAATCCCCACATTGCAGAATGATTTGTTTCTAGGCAGAATGAAATTTGTGCCTGGGAGGCTAACTGTACGTGAGCATGGGGAAGTGCTGTGTGTCTGCTGGTGTGCCTTTCTTCAGTGTACTAAGGAAAAATGGCTTCCTTTTGTTGCTTGGAAATAGGTACTTAAAATGTCGTTCTGCTATTAGTTGTCATTCAATGCGGTAAGAATATTATTGAGAAAGTGAGCTTCGTTAGCACCACGTCTGAATGAGACTTGGATAGGAACAGTGTCCGAAGCTACAAAGGTAAGGGTACAAATTGTATGATCTCTCCTATTCTTCCTCCTTCACATGCAGTCAAGTCTGAAACAACCTCTAACAGGTCAGGAGGAATTTTTCCCATTATTGTTAACTTTGACTAACAGGCTTACTGCTAGCAGCTTTGCAACCTTTGCTGTCAATGAGATCAGTGGCCACCGGGATAGCTGACTGAACAGAGAAATTCTTATGAGATTTTCCTCATGTTTTTCTGTATTTGTCTAATAGGTGCCCAGGGTGACCCTGGAAACCCAGGAATACCTGGTCCTCCAGGAGATGAAGGGATTAGTGGCTTACCAGGCCTTCCAGGAGTTCCAGGGTTTCCAGGTCTGGAAAGAGGTAACAGTGCACTTAGCAGTCTGTTTTCTGTGTTTGTTGCTGTGAAGACTCTGGGTAGTGGCGTGAAGATGGTGAAGGTATTGGAGCAAGCCTCTCCCTGCTCCTTCAGCTGGCTGATTTGCAGAGTGCTGTGTGAGACATAGCACACAGGGAAACCAAGTATGTTGACTTGAATGGGAGTAGAATTAGTCCCACAATGATTACAGCCCAGGCAAGTCTTCAGGTGTGAACATTGATGTAGCAGTTGGAGGTGGTTGGTTGTTTGATTTCCATTTCAAATGAGTTGATTGGCAGAACCTTTCCTACATTTTAAATAATAGCAAGAAAAAAATGTATTTTTAAGTGACTTCATATTTGCAATAGAGAGCTAATAAATGGCCTAGATAAACCCTCTGTAGTTGGAACCCATGTGTCCCATCAAAGATCTCACTTGAAAGTTTCTGTTTCACTTGAATGTCACCTGTGAAGTCCTGGCCTGGAATGATCCAGACACTGGGAATTACAAAGGAAATTATGTCATGCAGTCATACAGTCATAGAATACCAGGTTGGAGGGGACCACAAGGATGATCCAGTCCAACCTTTCAAGGTAAAAGTGTAGTTTAAATGAGATGAGTCAGCACCCTGTCAGGCTGATTCTTAAAACTGACCCATGTAGGGCAATTTACCACTTGCCCTGGGAGGTTGTTCCAATGTCTGATTGATCTCATGGTACCGCGAGTTCAATGAGAATCCCTCCAGAAGCAACTTGTGTCCATTCCCCTCGTCTTTTCCATGTGACTCCTTGTGAAAAGGGAGTCTCCATCTTCTTGGTAGCCACCCTTTATGTACTGGTACACGGTAATAAGGTCTGCCCTAAGCCTTCTCTTCCTAAGGCTGAACAGGCCCAGTTTTCTCAGCCTTTCTTCATACGACAGGTTGTCCAGTCCTCTGATCATCCTCATGGCCCCCCTCTGGACCCCTTCCAACCTGTCCGCGTCTTTTTTGTATAGCAGGGACCAAAACTGGACACAGTACTCAAGGTGTGGTCTGGCCAGCGCTGAGTAGAGAGGGATAATGACTTCTTTGTCTCTTCTGGTGATGCCCTTTTTAATGCAACCCAGCATCCTTTACAGCTGCAGCATATTGTTCGCTCATGTTGAGCTTGTCATCCACCAAGAACCCGATGTCCCTTTCCACAGGGCTGCTCTCAAGCCAGGTGGAGCCCAGTCTCAGCTGCATTCTTGGATTAGGTATTCCCAGATGCAAGGCCTTGCATTTGTCCTTGTTGAACTTCATACATTTCTTGCTGGCTCACTAGTCCAGTCTGTCCAGGTCTTCCTGGAGGGTGGCTCTCCCTTCTGGAGTGTCAGCTACCCCACTGATTTTGGTGACATCAGCAGACTTCATCAGGGAGGTCCTGATCCCAACATCTCACTCAAAGGAAATCAGAAAATAAATAAAACACAGTCTTACATAGTTAATTGTCTAACTGATTAGTGGGACTTAAATGTAGCTCTGTGAAGTTTTTTGGATGGCCAAAGGAGTGTATAAATGGGAGCCAGTTGACGCCTATGATTAGTAGGTTTTCCTTTGTGTGCAATCATAAATTGCTACCATGGTTGCAGTTAAGGGCACGACAGTAATTTCCATACATTAGAAGTACTAGAATGTGCTTGCTGCTGGAGAGCTGCTCATTGTGTCCTTGTTGTCTAGATGGAATGGGCCCTGGAGGGTCTCCAGGTATTCCAGGTGTGAAGGGTGAAGTGGGAGAACCAGGAGGAGCAACGATTGGATTACCAGGCACTCCTGGCAGGGGTGGATTACCGGGTCTTCCAGGAGCACCAGGATTGCCAGGTTCACCACGTATGTATATTCTTAACATCTATTTTTATATAGGATTCAGATTGAAACAATGCAAACAATCATTTCTATATTTATTTCTTTGCCAATGAGGATTATTAATCTGTACAATTTATTATGATTGTAACTCAGCAGCCACCTCTCTGAAGTAAAAAAATACGGCTACTTATTTTTAGAGTAGACACAATTTATGGCACACAGGACTTTGAAGTTCTAGACTAGTCTCCTACTGGCTTGGGTGAAGAATAGACCACGACCTTATGAGCACCTGGGGTAAATGTCTAGTCTTGTGAGTAGGTATTTTGAGTACCAGGAGTCAGATAGGATGACTGAAAAGACAGTTTTCAGACCTTATTTTTACATGTTAATTTGGATAGATGCCCTGATTTGATTAATTATGCATTGTTTTATTTTCCTCAGAAACTGAGTATTACGTGAAAAGGGTTGATTTTACACAAACCTTGTGTTTTACCATTCTGCCATAAACTGAGTTCCAACAGCCTGTTTTATTTTTGAGAGCCAACCTTTCAAAACTGGGCACACTCCAGTGATGGAGCAAATGAGCATGGTCTGATGAAATTATTTTCTATGGAGAAGAAAGAAGTACTCTCTTATCAATAACTGTTTGCTAGTCAAATCCAGCTCATTTTTCTGCAGAGTCTGTAAAGCTCTTGTAGCTGTTTTTAGCTGATGGTTGCAGTTTGTTTCCATGGAACATCAGACGGGTGCTGATCAGCACTCCGTCTTACTGTTGTCACTGAGAGGAAGCGTTTTCAGACATAGTTTTAGATTATGTCAGATCACTTTCCACTGCTGTTTCTGTCAGCTTATGTTTCATACTATTCAGCATATAAAGAGATGCAGAAAATAATCCTGCAGTTTCAAACTGAGAGACAAGAAAAGTACCCTTAACCTTTTTGCCATGTAGTCTCTTTCCTGAGTTGCAACACCTTATTAGAAGTTGAGGAGCTCTGCAGAAGGCAGGTAGCCCTGGGAATGACTTTACCATACCAGCAGCAGCAGAGTCACTACTCATACATGACAGCTTCTGTGCCAACAAAAAGGGTGGTAGCCAGTCATCAGAATCACCAGTACGTTGATTTGTTCCTTCAACTTCTATCCGTATGAGTCTCAGCTTCTCCCAAAGCTGTAAAGGCACATCTACCATGAAGTCATTTGCCCTTCTTTATACAACCTGTTCACAGGCTGATTAGTTCAGCCAACTGTTAAATCTTTGAAAAAGTGCGATGTTGGAGCAATAGAGGAATGAAATTGTTGCATCCACATTGAGAGCTTTTGCTTTTCTGTACAAGAAACTAGTAGCAAACATATGACAGAGGGCTGCAGCTTGTGATACCAAGTTCCATCTCCTTGTGTAACTTCTACAGTTGCAGTTTGATCCGGTGCCATTTCTATCAGTTGCATAAGGGACATTGTAAGTAATTAATGAGCTGGAAATCTAGCCTTCTCATGGCTTTTGCTTGTCTTCTTTCTGCATACAGGCCCTTCATTCCCCCCAGACACGATCTTGGATGGAAGGATTGGGGGCCCAGGGGAGCCTGGACAAAGAGGGCTGCCAGGAGCTTTGGGTCCAAAGGGGTACAAAGGTAACTGACTGTTGTTTTGGGAGAGCCTATTAGCAGTTGTTGGGCCTTGGAAAGATGTTTACACATGGTTAATCTCCTAAAGGATGAGGTGGAAGTGTCTTTATGACAAATCACAGGAGGCTGAGATAGATTAAAGAAGCCAACAGCCTTTACAGTTGAGAGAGTTGTGCCCAGCACTGCCAGCAAAATCCTATTTCCTAATTCCTCTGCTCAGGCAAATAAGCAGATAAACATCTCATACCCAGAAAATTAGCTAAGCGAGTTATACTTTAAAGCCATAAGACATAATGAGACTTAAAGATAAAATCTTGTTCACTGCTTTTTGTGATATAGGCTGGAAATGACAGCGAAACTTAATTTTTCTTCTCTGTGCTAAAAATGCTAAGAATTTGTGCGTGTGACAGAACCAGTGGCAAAAGGTGATGATGTTCACTGTTCTTTATGACTGTTCAGATCCATGGCCAGTTACAGTTCAGGGAAATACAAAGATTTCCAGTTGATGGTCATTGTAATCTACCGTGAGTGGGAGTATGGATTTGTTTTCTCTGACATACAACTGTCTCTTTAAAAAAAAACCCACAAGACTCCTGTCCTAAAACTTTCCTGACACCATCTGTTTAGAAGAATCTGAACCTTTGAGAAGAGGTGAAGAAGTGCTGAGGTTCATGCTGCATGTGGTAATTTGGTGATGGGCATTGCATAGAAATTAATCTGGACAAAACCTGAGCTCTCCTTTCTGAACACTCACATCACCTGAGCAAAATGGGTGCAAAATTAAATCATATCAGAATGGTTTTGTCCTAATTGAATCAAACGCTGCTTTTGGAGCTCTTGGAACTGAAAAAGGTCTTTATCCAAATGAAACTGAGTTTGGAGTGTTGACTGTATTTTCCAGGAGAGGCAGGTGATTGTGCTTGTGATGGAGGAGTTACAAGAGCTGGCCTAAAAGGCATCTCAGGTCCACCAGGTCCATCGGGAAGCCCTGGTGTGCCTGGGATTAAGGGCATTGGTGGAGACCCAGGCACTGTGGGCGCCCCAGGACTGCGAGGCCCTCCGGTAAGACAGGAAGAGTTTCTATCGGTTGTCATGAATTAAAGGAGAAAATGTGTCAAAGTGTAATTGCTGGTGTTGATTGTAGTGAAAGCAGAACACACTTTTTTTGCATAATTTCTTCTATTTGTTTTGATTAACAAAAAAAAAAAAGGCAACCCAGAAACTGATCTATGAAAAGAAACTGGAAGTAGAGAAATTGTCACCTATAAAAAATAGGAGAAGAAATGATTCTTAAGTTCTGACAACTGCGTGTTTAGCAGTCAAGAGAAAAACAGTAACAATTATTCATCCCAGGGCTTCTTTGCCATAGGCATGCATGGATTAGACCTAGGGTTCTTCCTAAGTGAGGGCTGGCTGGGGAGGCAGATAAACATCTGTATGGAGAAAAGACCTGAAAAATCGAATGGTGAGATCTTTCCATGTCGTTGCTCATAGCTATAAAAACTGTGGGCCATAGATGCAGTCTCCTTCTCAACTGCTGCATGCTAAATGCATTAATGAGAGTTGAGCTGTGTTTTTTATGAAACAGCAACCATAACAAACAGGATTTTCCAAAGTGCTGAGCATTGCTCGTTGGCAGTATTTACTTTTGAAAATTGTAGTCCATAAAGATACCAGTCTTTTGTCTTCAGAGTATCTTTGTCAGATTCAGTACTTGAATCTGTTCTGTCATAGGTGATGGGATCTTCCAAGATGCCATCCAAAATTGCTGTCGCTGTAGCGCTATACACCAGGGTTTGGCTTGCCACTATAAAGCTGCAGTGACTTGGCTGAGACATTTGTAAATAATGAAACCTTCTCTGTTTTATTTTATTGTTGGTTTGGTTGGTTGGTTGGTTTTGGGGTTTGGTTTTGGTTTTGGGTTTTGGTTTTGGGGTTTTTGTGGGGGTTTTTAGTGCAATGTATACAATAGGAAACCCTTTGGAGATTCTTTCTAGCTCCAGTCACTGTGTCCTGTCCTCATATGGCATTTTTAAGAAGCAAAGCCTTTTCTCTGCATGTTCATATTTCTGGTTTTTTATGTTTTGGTCTGTAGGCTTTGACTGGCCAGCAAGGTCTTCCAGGTCTTAAGGGAGCAAAAGGAGATTCATCCTACGCTACAGGCAAAGGTGTTCGTGGGGACCGTGGTGCGACAGCACCCAGAGGACCTTCAGGCATCCCGGGAACCCCTGGCAGGGATGGACTTCCAGGCTTGCCAGGCCCACCAGGCCCTCCAGTAAGTTCAGATTAATTAAGCAGCAGTGCTTCAGAGCTGGAGTTAAGGAGCACACAATAGAAGAGCCTGGTTTACTAGTCCTGAGTAAGTCTCCAAATACATAAAAAGCTCACAGTCCCTGAGCGCAGTTCTGTCTTGATCAGGTTTAACAACTGGCACTCGCTGTGCCTCTGGCTGCTCAGTCAAAGGATGAACTTTCAGTAGTGGAGCAGAACCTAATGCTGTTTTATGTTGTGTCCTAAAAGATAAAATACACTGTAGGCATAATTATGAGTCAAATCTTGGAATAGGAAAATCATGCCAGAATATTTTTAGTTAAAGAAAAAGTCAATGTCTTTCAGAATCTGTAATATTTACATTTTGGCAAATAAAACATAAAATATTATTTTTAATAGTCACTGGGTTTTCCTGCATTTTAAAATAATGGTGGATAATTTACAGTGGTTTCCTTGTACCTTCTCAGGCCCATCTCAACCTTGCACAGAACCAACCAAACTCTTAGGCGTTTGTTACAATGACAGTGGTGTCTATTCTTTCTAAATCTCTGATTTTCAGCTGAAACTGTCTTTGCTGTGCACAGGGCGATGGTGGGCTAGGTTTCCCAGGTGAAAAAGGACTGCCAGGATTACCTGGGTCCAAGGGCCATCGTGGAGAAACTGGTTCTCCTGGCGTTGGATATCCAGGTCCTAGTGGACTTCGTGGACCACCTGGTGACCCAGGAATGGATGGGTTTCCCGGACAAGAGGGTCTTCCAGGCCCTCGAGGTAGGTGTTGCTGGGTCTGCTGTTATTTTGAAAAGGTGCAAAGCTGCTGCAAGTAAATGGCACTCAACTTACTGCTGTGCTTGGAGCCAGACCAGAGGATTGCATTAGGTTAAAGATTGCTCTTTAAATTAACTGAAACTGGTTAAATTTGAGAAGAAACTTCTTCTCAGTGAGGGTAACAGAGCACTGGCCCAGGCTGCCCAGAGAGGTTGTGGAGTCTCCTTCTCTGCAGACATTCAAAACCCGCCTGGACGCCTTCCTGTGTAACCTCATCTGGGTGTTCCTGCTCCGGCAGGGGGATTGGACTGGATGAGCTTTGGACGTCCCTTCCAATCCCTAACAGTCTGGGATTCTGTGGTTTGTGGGCTCACCGGAACTCACGCAGCAGTCACAGCTTTCTCAAGTTGTGCTCAGGAAGACACAGAAAATAAGGAACAAATACTCAAATAGTATCAAATACTGAAGAGTGTTGGATGGAGCTACTCACTGGCTATTGCTGGAGAACCATTTTACACCAATGGTAGTTAGGAAGATTGATAAAATGAGGTTTTTAAAAAGCACAACTTACTTCATTGTCCAGGTAAAAATAGTAACTCACTGGTATCAGACTTCTGAATCAGTTTTCAGAACTATTACTATTACTGAAATAAGAAGAGCTCCAGGGTGTGTTTTCTTTGAAAGAAAAACTGTAGTACACTGTATGTATGAACGGGCGTTGGGTAGGAGGTTCAATTCTGACTGGTGCTACCAGCTCTGGGCTGGTTGCTTCCTGAGGTACCACAGTGTGGCTCAGTTGGTATTTCATTTTATGTACCTAAAGCATACCATAATGACAAGTGATAAAGTCAGTAAATATAGGTTTGATGATGATTTATGTTCACTCTGAGAGTTCAGAAAAAAGTTACATGAGAAGTCATATGTCTAAACATTTATGGAAAAAGTTCTCACAACAAAATGACTGCAGAGAGCTAGTCCCAGTGTATTGATTCCATGTCAGCCATTTAACTATAATTTAAGGTAAACAGTGCTTTTTCTTTCCTGCTGCTGATTTTCAGTGTATCTTCCACTCTGTGTATACTTAGGCGGCTAGATTTGTAATTCTGTCAGTATCAACAATGCAGAACCAATAATATATTTGCAGACGTAATATTGTTGCGTAGGCTTCTGGACTGATAAACTGATGATCTGAGTTCAAAAACCTCAGCGGTAAGAGCACTGCAGTATGAGAAGTTGGCAGAGGAATCTGAAACCCCGAGGGTGGTGAGAGCTAGGCCAGAATAGCACTGGGCAGGTTGCACAGCCGTGCCGGCTGGCGTGTTACCTCACATCAGTGTCATACTGGGTGGTTGTTCCGGGGTGAGGAGACAGCAAGCATTAATGTCCCCCTGCAACAGTCTGCATAAGCTTTTTTTCCAATTCAAGTCACAGGCTAAATACTAAAAGCTTTACTAATTCATAGCTACGAATGCTTACATCTTTGTTTGGTAAATTGTCTCTTACGAAATCCACTAAATTAAAATCGCATTGTAAGATAAGTAAAAGTAAAATGCTCTTTTCGTGATGTGAACTCTAGATATTCTGGGGAGCACATCAGAAGCCAGCTTATTATGAATGCTACATCAAAGCTTTGCTAACGATGAATGGTCCTTTGTGAAAGAGTATGGTCAAAATATGTGGGAAAGTGTGAAGAAGTCATTAGCCAGTTCAGTTTGCACCTCCACAGAGATGTGTAAGAAGACTTGTGAATGCGTCATTCCCTCCATACTAGAAAATCATTTGCATACATTTAAAGACCCTTTGATGTAGTTTCATCTACTATTAAGGAAATGTCAGTGGGTGGAAGAGATAATTATTTCTTATACTGCCCAGACTGGAAAGCCTTATCGTGAAAGTAAGGAAAGACAGTTAAAAAGAGACTGTTGCCATGCCAAAGGCACCACTGAGGAATTTTGCCCGAGTTTCTGCCACGTCCAGTAAAACAGGGTGAAACAGTCTTGCTTTGGAAAAGTCTAACTCAGGATTTTATGAAAACCTAGACTGATTTTACCTGGTATTATGAGAGTACTCAAAGGTGTTGTAATTGCCCATATTTCACTTTTATGCCTGACATGATTGTTTCAAGATTGTTTAATTTCCTTGATACTGGGAGATTATTATGTACTGTGATAATGTAGGGTATGGATTATCTGCAGAACACTTAAGTGTTGCTTATAGAATTTTTACACTAATTTTTGCTTACATCATCTTGCAAACCACACAAGGAAACAGTCCTATTTGCATTTCAGCTATCCTCACGTGAAATATCCATTGTTCAAGTATTCTACTGCTGGCTAATGTAAAATACAGAGTATGCTGTTGCACAGAGTTACTTTTGGATAGTCCTTAAAGCCATGTGGTGTGAATGCAACAGGATTAATTCAACTTCCCTTTCCATACCAGTTGCTCCTTTAAATGCTTTATTTTTTAGAGATTGCATTCTTTATTGTATTGTGTCTGAGGAGGAGATACCTGAGAGATGGACCTCAACTTCTTATTTTAAAAAGCATTCAGCATCAGACTCACATAGGATCGCAGAAGACCAGAACTGGAATTTTTATTTTGTGGCCATACCATTGAACTTTTACTTTATCAAAGTAAATAAAAATAAAGTAAATTCAAAAGAATGCCCAAGTGCAGGCAGAAATGGGTGCGTTACGTCTTGCAATCATAGTATCGGGTGCCCATATCCATTCAAAGCATAAATTGGATCATAGGTATTTTAGTTCTGAACCTCTATTCTTATAGCTTGTGCTGTGTATAAAGACAAATTGCTGTCACAGAGGAAAACAGAGCTCTCTTCGGCTTTATGTAAGAATACAAGTGTAAATGCAACTTTCTGTGGATGTGTTATCATGAGGATAGGCATTTTAAAATGAATTTTGTGATCAGTGAATGCCTTACCTCAAGATAAAAGTAATGAGTCAAGAACTGGCCTTTGGTTCTCTCACATCAAAGTAGAAAATGTTCTGATGTTTCCTTCAGAATTTGCATAGCATCTCAACATGTGAATAGATGGAGCTGTGTTCCCTCTCATTCCCTGCTGTGTGCCACTTTCCACATGAGCCTTGCTTATTTCTTTATTATACCTGATACCTGCTAGAAAGCCCCTGACTGGCTAGAATTTGAGGTTAGGATTGTTCTTTCTTCTCACAAGTCTGAGTAATGATATCAGTCACACAAGTCAGAATAATGAAATCATGAAAATAAGGGTTGAAGGTGGAATGAAAGGGAGTAGAAATGGGAGGTCAAACCAGAATCACTCTCTCTCATTTGGCACTGTGAGAGAGGGATGCTCAAATCTGCCTACCCTGACTGAGTTTGTGGTTGGACACTGAACTGAAAGCTTAACTTTCCATCTCTGGTTGGATGTAGATTTTCAGTCAGATTTTCACACAGCCTTTGTGAACTGAGTTGGAATCTACTGAGAAGACCCAAGAAAAATGCCATTGAGCCAGTTCTTAGCACTGTTCCAATCAAAAAACTAGTAGGGACTTTTAGAGCCTTTGCACCAGAGAAGACATATTGTGTTACTTTGAGTTTTTGTCCTGGCCTGTGTCATTTTGAGATCCCTGTTCCCACTGTCAATGTCAGAAGCAAAGAGTCACATGGAAGTCCACTGACCTGTTTTGATTTGTCCAGAAAATAGTTTGACTCAGGGTCTTTTGTTAATAAAATCTGTCAGTTATCTGAAAAATGTTAATATTTTCTGAAAAAAAGTGTTAAACTTGTATTGCTGTGCTGGAAGAAATGCTTCTAGTCTTGTCTGATCTAGACCAGATTACCTCCTCAGGACTGAAAGCAGTCACAATTTGGAGTACTCTCGACTGATGAATAGATTTGGCTTGTCAGTCTGGGAATGAAGCTTCAATAGAAGGGTCCTGCAAAGAGAGTTGTAAGGCAATGAGAAACTGTGTCTGTGATACCTCATTATCTCATCCTTAATCGGCCTTGTAGCTGATGCCAGATTTGAACTGGCAAATATCGGGTGTCAGAGCAGTTGGGCAGCTCTTTCTCTGTGCATATAAAAATGTTCACAGTAGTGAAAAAGACCACATCTCTTCCCCAGATTTGCTTTATTAGTCATCTTTTGTATGTAATCTCTCTGACTAAAGCTTAAGGTCTTTCAGGTTTTCCTTTTTAGAAAGTATGTCTGTCGTAGTTTAAGGCTAAGCCAGCTGTTACAGCATAGGAGCTAATTCTAGCACAGACTCCTCTTAAAATAATTGGAAACATTTCTGGAGTTGGAAAGTCTTGAAATAGTTTTTGTCACAGTCATTTATGTGACTGTGCGAATGTGACTTCAAATTGTCAGTGACCTACAAGGAGGAATGTTGGAAGCATTTGAGATCTTTCAGGTAAATCTGATGTGCTAGCAACTCTGGTAATGCCACATAAATGTCATTCTGCTGAAGAGGGATTGCTAGTACAAACAGCCTTTTTTTGAGAGGCGGAAGTCAGTCCGAGAGCTTTGCAATTGCTGAGTCTTGTTTACTGCTAATAAACTTTTAAGCCATGGGGTTATTTCTTAGTCTGACATACTGCAGAAGAAGCAGTTGGAGAATAAGTCTGGAAAAAAAAAAATCCTTGCTATTCCACCCTCCATGCGTGCATCCCTCTGGCCTAAACTCTTGGCTAACAGGGTTTATTTTTTTTTAAATATTCCCTAGATATGTATTTTATCTTGCATGTGAACATTCTAGTACTTCACACTGTAGTGTATTTATACACAGCTTAGAAACAGCCTCAGTTTTTAAAAGTTGGGAGCACCTGTCAGCTCCCACTGACTTTGAAAGCTCTCAGCCTGGACCTGAAGCTCCCTTAGTCACAGACTGCCTTTTCAATGCCTGTTGCATAGTCCCTACCATAGGGAGGGCCAGTTGCTGAGAGGAAGCCCTGGACATCGTGTACTACGAGTAGTCCACGGTAGTAGTTGCTACCTTTTGCAGTACGTAAGTAGTAAGGATGAGCTTAGAAAATTGCCAGGCTCTGAATGTCTTTTCTTTAATATCACATATTTGAGATGTCAGCAGTGTCTGACGTGCGTAATTTCACTCACAGCCACTTATGATATGTCCTTTAAAAAAATGTCTGGATACTTAAATGTTCTGCATCTGACTGTCTCTCTGAAAGGGGCTGTGTGCAACCTCAGTGTTTCTTTGTTTTAGGTATCACCTTGCCCTGCATAGTTCCTGGAGCATATGGGCCCCCAGGGACTCCCGGCTTTCCAGGATTGCCAGGTAGGGAGATAAGCTGATTGTAATGTACTGGCTAACTACCAAGAAGCACTTATTCCTCAAGGAAGATAATACTTGCTAATTAATCTCCTCCAAGTGATAGTTATTCCAGAGAGTTAACTGGCAGAACAATGTTCTTTCTTTTTCTTTTTTTTCCCTGAGATTAGGCTTAAATCCCATGGAGGATCATATTGTTCCCTTTCAGGTAGCCTCTGAACCACAAACCCTCTCCTTCTGCGTTTGTGTAGCTGATGAAACAGCCACAGCTTTGAGACTTCATTTAGTTTAAATTGTATATCCAATGAGTGTTTTCAGCACTAGCTTTGCAGAAAAGATCTGATCCTGTTTTCTCGTGCTGTGCTTTTGTCTTCCACTATTCATTCATTAATATTAATTATTCGTGTATTTTTACCCATAGGTCCCAAAGGCAGCAAAGGCTTTCCTGGCATTCCGGGCCAACCTGGATTACATGGGTCAAAAGGACAGCTGGGGTCTCCAGGAATAATAGGCTTGCAAGGAGAACCTGGTAAGAGGGAAGTTACTGAAGTTCTTTTTATTGTCTGAGTAATACGTACAATATTTTATCAAAAGAGTTGTCCAGCCTTCTAGGCCACTTTTCTGCCTGGTACATTCATAATGCTCCATTGAGAGCTCCATGGTGCTCCTTCCAAGTGCAATCACTGCAAGCAAATGGTTGCTGTTTGGAAGAAAACAAAAGGAATGTTCAAGATACATGTTACCTGCCTATAACATTGCATTGCTGCTGGAAGAAAAGAGAGCAGCCAACACACTTTGTTTCTTCAGAGACCATCAGCATGTGCTTTGTTACAGTTCAGGTTAACTACAAGTTCAGTGTAAAACTTGTTTTAAGCCATGTAGTACTCTGGTAAAGTCACACTGTACACAGTTACTTGGACTCGTTTGAGCTGTGTGAATTTCTGATGGCTGTGTGAATAAAAAGCAAGAGCAGAGGTGGTGAGGGAAGATCCCTAAAGCTGGGTTGCTTTGCATCTATCAGGTTGCTCTGGATATGGCTGAAGAAGTCTCTTATCCTTTCACTATGTTAAAGGGGGATGTGATCTTTATAGGGTCACTGATTCCATGACACAGCCCCTGAGCAGTGTGACACATCCACACAACCGTGCAGTTTAGTGTCTGCTTGGTACAGTACTTTTCAGTCCTCCTTGTACCGAGGCTGTCAGTGCCTTCAGAAATTGCCTGACGTAGGGGAGTAACAAAGAGTAACAAAGCTGTGATGAGTATGACATCTTTTGCAGCTTTTGTAGCTGACAGTGGTAGTGAGATACTGCCTGTCTGTAGCCTGAAATGGCTATTGTCCTTTTTTTGTCCTGTTTGCCTAAACTGCCATCTAGTGAAACCAAGCTTGTAAAACTGCAACTAGCTGCAGCTTTCTGTCACACCCTAAAGTATTCTTTTCTTTTAAAAAAAATTAAAGGACATTTTAACTATTTTAAATGGTTTTATCACTTTTAGTCACCAACTGTTGTTTCTAATTCAATACTGAGACATTCTGCAACTTTCCAAACCACTTTTACTTGCATTGAAAATTTTAAAATGTTGATTTTGTTAGAGATGCTGTTGGAAGCAGATATTCTGTGCTTCTGCTGAGTGGCATTTACTGTTTTTCTCTTTAAGGCTTCCCTGGGCCTCGAGGAGAGCAGGGGTCACAAGGACTTCCAGGACTGGATGGAACAGATGGTGTGCCTGGGAAAATAGGAGCTTTAGGCTTAGTTGGAACAAAAGGTGCACCTGGAGATGTACTTGGTGCTGAGAGTGGAGCCCTGGGAGAGCGTGGGCGACCTGGGCTCCCAGGTGATAAAGGGCTCACAGGTGATATTGGATTTCCAGGACCAAAAGGTAAGCACTGATCCTGCTTGTATCTGGGAATATCAACCTGTTTCTCTTTCGAAAATCTTTCCTCTTTCCAGTCTCTTTAAGATGCTGTGTTAGCAGTCCTCTGGTAGCTCACAGGTGGTATTTTGCTGGTTTTCTCTTAGAATCTAATGCAACTCAAAGGCTTTTATGAAAACCCTTTTTTTAAATAAAAGTGTGAATTTTGTTTTGTTTGTTCTGTAACTTCTCACCTCTCTGTTCCCAGGGTTAGACGGAAGACCAGGCCTCCTAGGTATTAAAGGCGATCAGGGTAATCCAGGATATTCGGGTGTTCCTGGATTGCGGGGACCTCCTGGTCCTGGAGGTCCTTTTGGCATTAAGGGAAAACCAGGACCCTTGGGGTCGGTTGGCCTCGCAGGAGCACCAGGTATGTCATGTCTTCAAATGAAGACAAGCTGAGTGCTGCAATGTTGAGGAAGAGTAGGAGAGGTTTGCAGTTTGCTAGGAGTGAGCTCCCACCTCTGGTTAGGGATAACAAAGTGCAGAATATGAGCCTTTTGCCTCTACTGTTGGACAACTCCTGTCTAGAAATGATGACCCAAGGCTGTAAGAAGTACAGCACAAAGACAGGAGAAAGCATCTTAAATGTCTTCGTATTTTTAACACCTATGCTCTTACATGCTGGCTGTATCATTGACTAATCTTCATGTTCCATTTTCATGATGATTAATTTCTAATGTATAGGGTTACTTGAAATGTGACTTTGATACATTGGAAAATTGTTGGCTTTCTCAGAACAAGCACCTAAGTCTTCTCTGTCTTTCTCTTCAGTGGGGCAGAAGATAAATTTATTTCCCTTCACTTTAAGGGGAAAATAACCCATCGCTTGAGTACATCTCTCAAGCTGCACTGACTAAAGTGTTTCATTATAATAGTGCATGCAAGACTAAGAACCAAGCAAAGAAACACCTAGGAATTAGTAGATAATGGTCTGTGACATAACTCCTCTGTTGTGACGTGCAGAATGATGGTGCTGGAGCACAATGACAACAAATGAATGAAGGCAGTAACGTCATTTGAGATTAAAATCATAGAGTTTTAAAGTTGTTTTTTGTTTGTTTGCTTTTTATTTTGACATTAACATTGCTTTTGCCTCTCTATTTTACATTTTTGGACTGTATACCATATATGACTTTCCTTCAACTATTTTTAAAAACCTCCCATTACAGGGATGATAAGGTTCGAATGATTAAGGTTTTTTTGCGGCTGTAGTCTCTCTGAATCATTAATCTCTTTTATACCCTTGTTCTCTCTGTTTACATATTTTGTCTGTTTTTTCCTTCACCATGTTTCTATTCCATTTATCACCAACTCTCCATTTCTGATGTCACACTGTTTGGTTATGGGTTCTTCACATAGGCTGTCAAGGTGAGAAAATGCAGTGTAGCATAAAAGCTCATGGACTAACAACCTAGCTTTTAATGCTACAAGAATTGCATTGACCATAGGTGATACCCCTTATTATTGCTAATCAGGCCAGAAGGCAAAGAACCATTGTAGTGAGAATGCTCAGACAGTAACAAAGCCTGAAGCCTATAAGGAAATCCTTGATATGTACAGATTATGTGCGTATGTTTTCTTTGCCTTCTTAAATAAAGCAGCCATTTAACCTTCTGCTTTAAAAAAACCCTGGGTCATAGCTTAAAGCGTTTAAGCCCTGAGTCTAACAAAGCTCGTATATTGGGTGCTACTGCTACAAATGCCATTTTTTCAAAAGCCACATGATTTTTCCTTCTCTTCCTATCTTTGGATCTGAGCATTCTGTTTTCAATGGTTTGAGCCTTTATTTAAAATCGTAAACCATTACAAAACTTTAGCTAGAAACATTCTAAAACATTTAGAGGCAAAACAGTGCATATGATGTTGGTTTTATGACAGCACAATCAGAAGCTTGTTCCCTTCGTGAGCAATTTGCTCTTGAGAAGTAACACTTTAACTACCAAGGTGGAAAAGAAACATGTAAAAACAAGCCTCTCCAATTGATCTCTGGTTCACCCAGAGCATGGGGTAGGTAGCAGAAGCTGGCATTAATGATGCTCCCCATTCTGGTTTGGCTGCCTTGATGATAAAGGTAAGACTGGTGTGCTACTGTTTGGTGTCTGTAAAGAAGACAAAAATGGATACATCATAAGGGGTTTCACTCTTGCCAGCTGTGTAGTGATGTAGGCAGTAACCCTCTTCATAGGTATTTTATTAGTAGATGACTAATGCTTTTGCAATTCTAAGCTTTATGCCTTCTAGTTGGCTGCATGTGCCATAAGGTCCCTTTGTCGTATTAAAAACAATGCTGTGTTTATAGAGTTTGGGAAGCTGTCCACAAATTGTCCCAGTGTTTGTGTGACATAATCTATCGAGTTATTTCTTGTATTGATTCAGGACTTCCTGGAGTCAAAGGCTTGACTGGGGATGTAGGTCCACAAGGCCCTGCTGGTATGAAAGGCTTCCCAGGTCTTGATGGTGCTCCAGGATCTCCTGGGGAAAGAGGATTCTTAGGGCCACCTGGGCCTTTTGGTCAAGATGGACGTCCAGGTTTCTCTGGGCCAAAAGGTATGTGTTCCACTAGGGAAATAGTCTGAGATTATTGTACCCACAAAAAACCCCCACACCTTGTAAATACTGATTTGTGGCCCAACTTGTCAGAAGGGAATGAATTCTCAACTAGTTTTGGAAGGCATTTGTTTTGCTGCTGAGTTATGAATTACAAATAAGGGATTTACTTATCAAATCATACTCATAAGGAGATCCATCTTAAAGGACTCAGAGTCTTATAGACAAAGGATCACATAAATCAAAAAAATTGAAGAAATGAGGAACAGTGAATGAATTTTATACAAGTGAAAGAATGAAGCACAAACCAAATGGAAAATAAAAATTTACAATCTGTATGATCATTAAGCACCAATACAGGAGCTGGTTACTTGGAGAATTCTGTGTTACTTTAGGGAGAAAGCAATAGCATTATATAGCTGCATGTTGCTCTCTTGGAACTTGGTTGGGTTTTGCTCTCCAGTGGAAGTGGGACCAGGCTCTCAAAGGTGAACTGAAAAGTGCTAGTTGAAAGGAAGTGCTAGCTGTGGATGTTGTCTACCTGGACTTTAGT